GAGGAGACACTGTACATCAACTGGGCAATGCATGAGGAGACACTGTACATCAACTGGGCAATGCATGAGACGGCACTGTGAATCAACTGGGCAATGCATGAGACGACACTGCGAATCAACTGGGCAATGCATGAGACGGCACTGTGAATCAACTGGGCAATGCATGAGACGGCACTGTGAATCAACTGGGCAATGCATGAGGAGACACTGTACATCAACTGGGCAATGCATGAGACGGCACTGTGAATCAACTGGGCAATGCATGAGACGGCACTGTGAATAAAGTAACATTGCAAGAGAAGACGTGCATTAGGAAGACACTGTTAGAAAAGACACGTGCATTAGAAGACACCGTTGAGGTCAATCTTTGTGTTTATTAAGGCTAAAGACTGAACTGTTCACAGCGATTCTTAAAGAGACGTGTACCGTCTCTGTAACTGTAAAGCTCATACGAGGGCCTGGTATTATTATACATTTACTATTCAATGCAATCGCTCAAATTTTATGTTTGTTGAAAAGCCGGGTGGTCCCATATAGTCAATTGGCATTTTTTTTATTTTGACGGCAATAATATACAAACATCCGATTTTTATTTTATTAAATCTATGAAAAAAATAAACTGTTATTTGGTTACATTATACCCGTGTCTATTTTTCCAGGCCATTACTTATTGTTAATGGTATTCATAATTTTGATAAGTGTATCCATATTGTGTTTCAAAATTATCATCGCTAAAGCAGATACGATAAGTGGTGTTTTTTATGGCGTTTCCGTTTCAACATTACAACACGTCATTGTGACTTATCATTGGTTTTAACAATTATGCTCTCTATATCTGTACATCAGCTTCAAATACATTCCATATGTTCCAAATATTGTTCTAATGATCTACTTTCTCCAACGACATTGCAATAAATGAATTTGGTTCATGGAATATGTGATGAATTTGTAAAATGGGTCGTTCGTATGAAAAAATGAGGTTCAGACGCTGTAGGATATGTTATATACTTACTGTGTATGTGTGTCCTTAGCTTTACTGTGTGTGTGTGTTCGTCTGTGTGTCTGTCTATCTGTGTGTGTGTTCATCAGTGTGAGACTCATCCCTCTCGACATCCCCCTCCCCCTAGACAGCGACGAGGCCATGATAGGCAGTTGCGGCTCATGACAGCAAGACCACAGTACAGGAACTGCTCATTCCTGCCAAAGATAATCAGGATCTTGAAAAGCTTACAAAGAAAAAAAAAAAGAAGAGTTGATGCGACATCAACACGTTAAACCTATTGCATTAGGCCTTCCAACCCCCAGTTCCTAATACCCGCGCAGAGTAGCCCTTGCAACCAGTGTAATATCCTCTTCAATACCTTGATCTTGGTCCCTTAATATTTTTTTTTTAAATATGAGAATGAGCTATGCTGACCGTAATGCCAAAGAACCCAAAATATTTAGATACGTTCAGATTCATGAAAAAAATCATTGCTATTTTCTATTATTTTACATAAATCGAATAAATTTAAATGCGCAAAAAATAGTATATATCCGCTTTTACTTTAGTAAAAGTTTAATATTATTTTTTATAATTTACAAATAAATTTAAAAGAACAAATAAGGAACTATCGTAAGCATTTTTTGCGTTTGAAAGCTATGAAAAAATAAAAATAAAATAATAGATCAAAGAACTACAACGTAATCACATTTATCGTTTTAGTGCGTTGGTAATATCGCGAGATAAAATTAAAATTAACGTGTTCTGAATAAACACCAACATGACGCCACACCGCGAATCGCCTATTTCGCCGAAACTCTTAAGTTACTTTGATTTAATAGCCGCGCGTTACAAAACCGATAATGTATTTTCCCCTTCTTAAAAGTACAATTTATTAATATAAAGTATTGCTTTTTAAATTGTTACTAAAACACACATACATTTCAGCTTCGTATCTTTAACATTTACACGGTTTTTTACTTTTTTTCAATTGTGACTGCCATACATATATATAATATTAATAATATTAAATGGGGGAAATTAAAATCTTTTGATGTGTGATTGCTCTAATGTTTTTCTTTCTTTCTTAATTTTTTAAAAAATTTAACTTCTCAATATTAACAAATAAAAATAAATAACTAAAAATGATTTTCTTTATTTCTTAAATTTTTAATTTCACTTTCAAATTCGGATAAGTTACTTTTAAAATTCCTTTAATTGTCATACTAAACGTATTTCAAATTATAACAATAATACTTAGACATAAATTTACATATAAGAATATATATTTTATTTATAGCATAGTTAAATTGATTCGATTTTCGTAATATAGTAGAAAATTCGTTTTAAGCATCCGGGCGTATTCAAATTGATTAGTTACTTAGCGTTTTATATATATATATATATATATATATATATATATATATATATATATATATATATATATATTCAACATCACTGTCATAAAGAATAAATTATCGCCTTTCCGACAAGACCTTATTCAAGACCCTTGACAGTGTCCTCTAATTTGTAACACAGCAAACAATAAAAAAATCATGGTACGTGTGACAGTAAAATATACAATTCTAACACAGCAAATCAAAATCCTTGTTATCATTATTATTATTATTAAGGTAGTTTCATTTGGTGCAGTACCCCAGGCTAGGCCTTGGTTCACGGCGCTTTACTTAAAATGTAACTATTGCTGAAAATTATTCATTTAAAAACGATTAGCGAAAAGCTTGACCTCACCCACCAAAGTACTATCTACCCTTGTCTAGCCATGGACAGCATCCAGCAGCATCGAGGTTAGAGGGGGTTGAGAATGAGCTGGTATTGTACAGTTTGAAGAGATGGGTCTTGAGGGAAGTTTTGAAGGCTGTGATGGTTGTTATATTGCGGATGTGTGATGGGAGAGAATTCCGTTCTTTGGAGGCGCACAAAGAGAAAAATAATATTTTTCACCATGGGTTTTAGTGCGTGTTCTGGGAAAAGAAAGAATACGTAAGCATGTCTATAGAGGAACGAAGCTTTCGAAGGTAAGAATAGCCATAAAGATGTTCAGTAAGACAGGAAGGGCAGGAACCAGAGATAAAAGTTGTGACATTGAACAGGCACCTTGCAATGAATCCGCGCCTGTAAAGGGAAGCCAATGAAGTGAATGAAGTAGTTGAGTGACGTAATCACGTTTCTTTGCCTTTATAGCTAACCTAGCAGCTGAGTTTTGAGCTTTCTGCACTTTTTCTATGAAATGTTTTGGTGAACCTGTGTAAATAAACTATTTGATTGTCACACAACAAATTAGAACGCATATTATATGTGTAAGTAAATTTTACATTTGTGACACAATACATGACATCCCATATACCATGTCTTAGCTTTAGCGTGGCTAGGGTTAGTAAAACCCGGGCTAGAACAAAAATTACCCCCCCCCCCCGGGCCACCAACAAATACACAAAAAATTGTGTCACACTATATAAAAACCCTTATTACATGTGTAATCAATGTACAAAATTTGCGTCACAGCGCATCACATAAGCTGTTTTTGTACGTTAACTGCAAAAGCATGTGACATATGTAACATGACATGTCACATAGCGAGATCAATGATATCCTTGTGGCCAGTAACCCCTGGTTCATGTTATTCGGATTCTAGATTATATTTTCCCCTTCATCTTTGTGTCAGCTCGTGAGTAACATGACCTTGAAGTAGAAATCTTCTGTTTTAAGGTCATCCAAAACGTTCTAGTAGAAATGTTCTTGTATTACTATCTGTCATAGACTTGTAGTCGAATTGTTATTGTACCACAATTTGCCATAAACTTTGTAGTAGAAATGCCCTTGTTTTACAATTTACCAAAATTATCGGATCTCTGTAATAAATTTGAGACATAAAATAATTTGGCCTGACACATATGAGAGGCAGATGACGAATGAACAACAGGACAGTAGTTTAATGAAACAAGTTTAATCTAATATGGACTGACATTGTCGCCTGTGTAACAAATTATGCCTTTGAGGCAAAGTATCGTCATAAAATGCCCCCAGCCCATATTTTGACCAAAGGCTGTTTGGGCTAACTCTCAAACTTGTGATTCTCCCTTCCCAAAACACATCTTATATAAGGTGGCAATACAATCCTAAACAAAAAGGAATCACTAGGTTGGTAAACACCTAGGTACTCAAAAGCTTTCTTTTTGAATAATGTAATAGGCCTACTTGTAAATAAGATGCGCACTCCCACCCCCATGTACAACGTAATGAAATGTGGTTTCTTAAAATGGTACAAAGATTATTCCCCCTTCCCCACTTAAAAAAAAAAGAACACGGATTTCAAAATAAAATCTAATTTTTAGAAGCTGTCTTATTTCAAAATAAAATCTAATTTTTAGAAGCTGTCTTATTTCAAAATAAAATCTAATTTTTAGAAGCTGTCTTATTTAAAAATCAAATCTAATTTTTAGACTCTTTCTTATTTAAAAATTCCTAGCCCCCGATTTCCTTAGTCATTTCCGTTTGACAACTAAAACCAAATGTGATGTTCATTCAAAAAGAGGCCAGTTCGGCTATCCGCAAGACATGGTAACAATACAAATCAATCAGGTGAATCTTCAAATTAATTTTTGAAATGTATCTTTTTATAATTGGAGGAAATTTTCAAAGTTGTTTCCCTTTTCAAATTTTACTGGTTTGACCCCCCCCCCCCAACTCCCCCCACTTTTTCCCCCGTCCTCCATCCTCCCCCTCCCGTGCCAAATATGAATATTTTGCAGCATTGATTACTTTAGTTTCAATAAACATCAAGTCTTTTTTTTTTTTTTATGTTTCTTAAAATTGATTGAGAAACGTAAAATATCCTTTTTTCTTTTTTTTTCTTTTTTAATTTAAAACTAAACTCGATAATTTGAAAAGGGATTTTGAAACATGTACATACCAAGTTGGCCTAGATTGCTCTAGATGCAACAATTTACGTAGAAGCGTGCATTTTAAACCTAAGCCGACTTATGCGCTATTGGTTATTTTAAGTAAAATACATTTTAAAACCTTCATCCCTTTGGGAATTTTCTAGAAACTTAAAGTTCGTCTTTAAATCGTATTTCATAACATTTAAGGACATTCAAAGACGTTTATACAAGCATAAGAAATATGAAAAAAATGGAAATTTATATAATCTTAACTCAATCAGTTCTTTACCTTACTTCAGCATAATTAATGTTGCATGACTTCAATATTTTATTGTGCGTCAGTCGAGGAGCGACGAAGACCATCGAGTCGTCTGGTGACTGATGACCTGCGCGGGTGACTTTGTTTAAAGTGAAGAAGAGTTTCGAGGCGTCTACCTCACTCTCTCGTCCGAGCCCACCATATCCAGTGGCAAGACTCCACGTCAAGACGACCAGGGATGGGTTCGGTTGCAGGAATTGTCATTGTTTGCGCCTTACGAGACTCCAACTCCGGGTTTGAATTCAGAGATTCCTTCTCTTGAGTCTCATCCACTTGGGATTACTTCAGTATAATTAATTTTGAATGTAAGACAGTCTACGCGCTTCAAGCTAAAACCCAGCCACGTGATTTTCCTTTTTTTCTTGAACATTATTTGAAAGGAAAATTTTATTTGCCGTGAGTTTATAATAACATGTACAGCCGTCATCGCCGCAGAAAAGGTATAAATATTACGCGTCATGCCATGGAATGTTCGTACAGCTCTGAAGTACCTACGTCTGTTTTATATCTTTCCTGATATCGTCCCCCTTTTTTCGCTTTCCTTCTTCTTTTATACGTTGTGTCTCAAGGACTCGATTTCAGGTAATATATTTCAATTGACAACTGTCAATTGGTCTACCACTTGGCTACACATATTTATTTAACCCTCTACCTCTCTCTCTCCCTCTCTCTCTCCCTCTCTCTCTCTCTTTCTCTCTATTATCATTTTGTAGGCATATCTTTCTCTGTTCGTCCCACTCATTCTCTCTTCATGTCTGTATGTCTGCCTCTTCCTGTCTATCTGTCTGTCTGTCTCCTCCTGTCTGTCTAATAACATTCACGCTTTTTACGATGGTCAGTTTTTACTCCGCAATTCTGCGGCCTCTTTCGCGACGTAAGGCAAACAAAACCATAGTGCATCTGAGCCGTGCAGGCCGTAGTCGCCATCTTTGCACGTGTAAACCGCAATGCCCACTTTCTGGTCCTTTCTAAACTGAGGCGAGTACATGGCGCCATAGACCTGTTCGTCGGTACTGGACATGTTGCTGGCCAGTAGAGCTTGGACAGTTTTCTTGTAGGATGTGATGAATTTTTGGACTACCTGGGTATGAAAATAAAATTGTAAATAAAAATAAATTTTAAAATAACATTCATGCTTAAAACCATGAAAATTCACGTAGTGTATCCTAATAATTAATTTATTTATTTTTAAACAACGTTATTATTTCATGGCTAAATATAATATTTATGTGTCCTAAAGAGATGATGACACAATTACCGTCTTCGTAAACACCTAATTAACCTACAGGCATACCACCACGCCCAGTTAATTAAGAAAATCTAATCTCAGGCATCGAGGCTTTGGGAAGCAGAGTGCCGCTTATAAAAATGCCCATATGGGGGTTTTGTTTTGAATTTATTTTTATTTTTTAATATTTGTTTTCAAATTGTAAAATCATATGTAATTTGTTTTTTGTTTGCCTCTATCACTTCCTATTTGTGATATGTCAAAAAGTTTTTGGACGCAAAATTTGATGACCTTCTTTGATCCTATGAGACAGCTGCCAGACACCCAGATGTGATTTTTCTGTATGTAATCCCAGGGACTGGCATTTACGAGACGAGAATGCGGGGCGACCTCTGCGAAACCGATCCTGCTGTCATTGAATGCCTGCGGCACCTCCAGGGAGAAGGTCTCATTCTTGCGGTTAAGTTTCAGCATGTTCCTACAGGGGTTAAACCAAAAAAGCAGTGCTACAATCTGTACCCGTGACGGACATGAGATTATCTGTTGCTGATGTAAACGAGGATAAAAAGTAATATACAAAGAAAGACATGTAATATGGGTGCGATAAAGAAAGACAAGAAATATAGGGGATAGAAAGGAAGACATGAAATTTAGGGGATACAAAGAAAGACATCAAATATATGGGAAAGAAGAAAAGACATTAAATACGATTAAAAATACGAGAGATATGAATGCGAAAAATAAAAAAAGATATTAAATATTGGTGCGATTAAGAAAAAAATGAAACATTGTGTGCGATAATGTGGGTGCATCCATGGGCGCCCGCAGGTAGGGGCAATGTGTGGCACTTGCCCCCCATCCCTGGATTGATTGGATACAAATTTGTTAGACAAAAATTGACAAAAAATGTATTTAAGTAAAGAGAAAATAAAGAGATAGTAACTAAGCTGATGTCCTGTCCGTTCGTTCACCATACAAATACGCTACAGTAAATTAAAACTACATTAAAACATTACTAAAAATTGTTAGCCCCCCCCCCTGGAAAGTTAATCGATTTTTTGCCTCCCGCCCCCCCGCCCCCCCCCCGCCCCTAGAAAGTTTTCGGCGGGCGCCCATGGTTGCGTCCTAGCTCAACTAAAAATAAAACTGAATGCCACAAGGAAAACCCCATTAAGAGTTCCCAAATAAAGTGTTGGCTGGAATCATCCGTCAACCTACACACGGTTGTATCATTGCTACCTCTTACGTAATTCAAATTTCAGCTATGGGAGTCAGTACCACAACAAAAACTCTATCCTTGGCCTATACCTCAAAGCCCCGATGTCCAGCCACGCCATGAACTCAGTACTGACATGGCCGAGGTCCATGGTCATCTGCAGCGCGTCGAACTTGGCGTTCATGGTGCAGGAGTAGTTGGCGTTGACGGTGTTGGGCTGGTATTTGGGGTATTTGGGCCTGCTGTAGATGTCCCTGATTTTGTCATAGTCTTTGAAGGCGTTCAACTGTGACCGTTCGACTTTGATCAGCACGGTCCTGTCTGCAGGTTGGGCTGATCGGAGTTTTCTGTTAATGATAAAAACGTATGGAGTGGTTAAATACATGACAGGATCAATTTGAAATGAGCTGCACTAAACTGAGGAACGTCTGAGTGATAGGCAAGTTTGGGAGGCAGGAAAGTTTTGGTGGTAGGCAAGTTTAAGTGGTAGGCAAGTTTGGGTGGTATGGAAAGTTTGGGTGGTAGGAAATTTTAAGTGGCAGGCGCAAGTTTAAGTGGTAGGCAAGTTTAAGTGGTAGGCAAGTTTAAGTGGTAGGCAAGTTTAAGTGGTAGGAAAGTTTATGTGGTAGGCAAGTTTATGTGGTAGGAAACTTTGAGTGGCTGGCAAGTTTCGGTAAAATGGAAGCTTGGAATCGTAAATCTTGGGTATCAGGCAAGTTTGTGAGAAAGTTTTAGTAATAGAAAATTTGGGTGGTAGGCAATTTTGTGTGATAGGCATTGGTTGAACCCAAAAATTGAAAGAAGGGTAAGATAACAATCAAAGTTAATTACTAGCTGCCAGTGATAAACCCTTTCATAAGTTTGAGGCACATCTGATATAGTTGTTTGTCATCTATATCTTTAAAATTTAATATTTCCTTTTTAATGTATGTACGTAATCCATGGAATGGGAACCTTTTAACTTAAGTTTTCTTTAAATGACATCATCACGATGAATTATCATTTTTTTGTGCACATAATAAATTAAGTATCGTTGCACGTTTTAATTCTAGTGTCATAATGTCTGGGTGGCCGAATGGTCTAAACTGAGCCAACCTCAAGTTGGTGGTCTGGAGTTCAATTCCTGCCAAAAAACAACACATCGGGTGGATGAGACTCGTTAACCTTGGTCGGCAACTCATCTAAGAGAAGGAAGCTCTGAATTCAAACCTGGTGGTTGGAGTTCCGTAAGGCGCATACAACTCTTCCTCTCTTTAAACAAACGTCATCAGACTCGATGGTCCTCGTCGTTCTACGACGGACGAACAACAACATTGTCATAATGAATTAATTAGAGTTTAACAAAGCCACTGTTGAAAATCTCGTAATTGCATCAAAGTCGTATGTTGACATTTTTGGGGGCAAATAAGATATTCTATTTTAGAAACATTAAACACGTTCTCTCTTTTAGGCGCTTTAATTCTTTTTTTTTTTTTTTTTAAGCAATGACCTACCGGAAGTACTCCATGTCGTCGCTGTCAGCAAAGAAAGCCACCACCTTGTTGGTGCGCCACGCCCAGGGCAAATAAGATAATCTATTTTAGAAACATTAAACATGTTCTCTCTTTTAGGCGCTTTAATTCTTTTTTTTTTTTTTTTTAAAGCAATGACCTACCGGAAGTACTCCATGTCGTCGCTGTCAGCAAAGAAAGCCACCACCTTGTTGGTGAGCCACGCCCAGGTGTGCATCCACGTCCTGTAATTGTCTTTGGTGCGGTAGGTCTTTCCGAACCCTTTTAGGAACGTCCCCAGCGGTATGTACAGAGTGACCACAGTGAGGTCATAGGCGGTGGGCCTTTCTGTCGTCCGCTGTTACGTGAATGTCAAGTTTTGAAAAAATGAGGTGACAGTAAAGAAATGTCAAATTTATATGTATTGATCTTAAATTCCGATAGCTAATTTAGTGAACACGGTTCGTGTGTTACTTTGTGAGAGCATAATTATAGCGAGGATACTGTAAGCGATAGATACTTTGAGCGGCGGATACTCTGAGCGTTGAATACTCTGAGCGTTGGATACTTTGAGCGTTGGATACTCTGAGCCTTGGAAATTCTAAGCGTCGGACACTCTGAGCGTTGGATGTCTGAGTGTTGGATACTCTGAGCGTTGGATAGTCTGAGTGTTTGATACTCTGAGCGTTGGATACTCTGAACTTTGGATACTCCGAGTAATGGATTCTCTTAGGCTTAGAGAATCACGCTGTGGCTATGGATCTTATTAAGGGTAAAGGTAGTGATCCCGTTTTGAAGGATCGCGTTATTGTTATTGATTCCATTTAGAATCACGCTAATGACATTGATTTATTTGAGGATCACACCATTGCTTTTGATCCGTTCTAGAATCATGCTATTGTCATTGATTCACTTCAGGAACACGCCATTCTATTGATCATTTTCAGAATCACGTTATTGGCTTGATTAATTTTAGGACCACACTACTTAAATTGATTCATTTTGGGATCACACTATTGCAGTTTATCCCTTAGAGGATCACGATCCTATTATTTATCCCTTGGATAAACACGCTATTGCTTTTGATTCATTTAAGATACACGCTGTTGCAATTGATCCCTTTGAGGATCACATTATAATAATAGATCCGATTGAGGGCTAAACTACTACCAACGATACTTTTTTGGAGATCACTCTACTTGTACAGATGTCGCAATGTTTTAGCTGACAGTTTCAACCCACCTGAAGACCAGTTGATTTACTGTCATGTAGATGCTCAACCACCGGAAGAACTGGTGATTTACTGTTCTGTAGGGGCTCCACCACCTGAAGAACTGGTGATTTACTGTTCTGTAGGGGCTCCACCACCTGAAGAACTGGTGATTTACTGTCATGTAGGGGCTCAACCACCTGAAGAACTGGTGATTTACTGTCATGTAGGGGCTTCACCACCTGAAGAACTGGTGATTTACTGTCATGTAGGGGCTCAGCAACCGGAAGAACTGTTGATTTACTGTCATGTAGGGGCTCAGCAACCTGAAGAACTGTTGATTTACTATCATCGAGTCTATTGAGTACACAGCTATGATCTAAAGATGATACACACACAAAAATATATAAACATATATATAATTTTGAAATGTTAACACTGACATGCCTTTACAATAACGCCATAAACAATGAACAAGCAGCATTAGCGTTACACTATTTCGTTGTATAGAATATAAGAGTGTGTCGTAGTTTCCATATCGACGCCAGACAATAAGAAGGACGCTGGAGCCGAAAGCCTTCATCTGCCAACGCAACAATAAAAACAAAATCGAACAAAGGACACATCCTAATTTGAGACGGTTTGACAAGGAGTTGTACAAATAAATTTAAATTTGGACTGTCTTTTGTCATTACGCAGGTTTCCAGTGGGCGGGCTCAAGAGAACCATGCATGGATAAACGGGAAAATCCATTATGAATATGAGAATACTCTGTAAGTATCGGGGTCAACAAGAAGTATGTTTCCCTCAAGTTAATTTTAACCATCAAAGAGGGTTTCACGCGTGTTAGCCGAAATGGGACAGATGCGATTGTGTGACCTAAATTTCGCCAATGTTATATAAGCGAAAATGATACAAGATTAGCATATCAGATAGGTTCACTGAACATCTTCAACTGATATTGAACAAGGGAAAACTTTCCCCGGTATTATCCCATTCTAACGGAGATAAGCATAAAGGGACATTTGATGTATCCATCACGGCACTGATTTCCTGTACCAACACACCAGAGAGAGAGAGAGTTACAAGAGAAAACCAATTAATTCAGCTTTTCCGCACAATATAATCGTATGGAATTCATCAAATACTCTTCTCTCAATGATTCTCTACTTCCCTGTCTTTGTTTTCTTCTTTATTAAATTTTATATATCACCAAAATAGTTAGACCCATTTTTTCACTGTAACAATACATATATTCTTTCTTTTCTGGCAATATTTTTTTTTTTTAATCCAACTTCCGGCAATAACAAAACTGATCAAATAAGTTCTTAACTATTATAGATTTCTTGTCGTACTTTCATTTCTCCTGTCTGTTGAAGAGGGCTCTAAGCCAAAACGTTCACATCTTAGTGTCCTGCTTTTGGATTCAAGAAGAAATAAATAAATGAAGGGACTGCTTTCAAGCTATGTAAATGAATGAAATAGTGAAACGAGGTATGTGGAAGCTTGAAATAAGGTAACAGGACAAAAAAACAAGGACGTTTCGGCATAAAGCCTTCCTCAGCCAACAATAGAAATGAAAATATAACAAAGAAAAGAACACAGTAGACAACTCAAGCAGTATTCATTCGTCTCTCCGGAAGTGGGAAAACCAAAGGAAGGCTTTCTGCCGAAACGTCCTTGTTTTTTGTCCTGTTACCTTATTTCAAGCTTCCACATACCTCGTTTCACTATTTCATTCTTTGGATTCAAGCTTCCACATACCTCGTTTCACTATTTCATCCTTTGGATTCAAGCTTGCGCTAAGCCTCATCCTGCTTTTTCCTTCACACAGCTTGAACGCAGCCCTTCATTTATTAGTATCACAAATACAAAGCCGCACAGTTAATGGTCAGTTTTTACTCCGCAATTCTGCGGCCTCTTTCGCGACGTAAGGCAAACAAAACCATAGTGCATCTGAGCCGTGCAGGCCGTAGTCGCCATCTTTGCACGTGTAAACCGCAATGCCCACTTTCTGGTCCTTTCTAAACTGAGGCGAATACATGGCGCCATAGACCTGTTCGTCCACATACCTCGTTTCACTATTTCATTCTTTGGATTCAAGCTTGCGCTAAGCCTCATCCTGCTTTTTCCTTCACACAGCTTGAACGCAGCCCTTCATTTATTAGTATCACAAATACAAAGCCGCACAGTTAATCTCCCCACCATAACATGCACTCACCGAACACATCATTAACGTTTTTCCATGTTTTTAGTTTGGTCGCTGTATAAATAACCAGGACCTCACGAATAAAAGCATCAAATAATGTGACAGACATTTATAAGATCCATCATTGTCAACTTTTAAGGTGAAGCTTCGAGCATAATTTTTTTTTTCTTTATATTTCATGACTTGATTGTTACAAGTGTGAGGCTAAAGAAGACTTAAACACTTTTTTTTTAAAAACAATCTCTTTTATATCTTAAAAGGAGGATAGTGCACAAAGTTTGGGAAACACAAAGCCAAAGACGGTGGAATATATTATAGGAATATTTGAGATGGCTGTGTGGTTTAAATGAAGATATTTGATCTGTGGTGAAGATAACGTTCATATGATAGTTCAGTGGTCAATGGGCGAATGGGCCCGTTATGGAGAAGTCTTGTTTCATGTGATAGCTCAGTGGTCAATGATTAGTATGTTTACCAACTTTGGCCAAGATCCATCAATAGACATTTATACTGTAATATTAGCGTTACAGTCTTATATATAGCTTAGGCCATGATCATAGAAAACTAATTTGGAACTCTCTAAAAAATTAAAAAAATTATCTTTAACTCGTATTCTATAACATTCGGGAAACTCGTTGAACGCTAATGAAAAAAATATTCATGATTAGGGCATTTATATAATCTTAAAAAGAGTATAGGAAAAAAGCTTCAAGAATAACATAGTAACTTCATAAAACTTATTTTAAAATAAGAACCTGTGATAATGAGAAAAAGATACCCAGGACAGTATAGAATTGAATAGAACTAAAACTAAATTCAATAAGCTTTTATATCCCCGGGAACAATGTAGAACTTTCTGGAACATTCTAGAGTAAATGTAATAACCTCCTTAAAACGTGTAAAAAATACTTTTCTGCTTAGTTATTTTTTGAATACGAATTTTTCTACAACTAAATGTCATAATTGTAACTATTTTTTATTTAAGTTAAAAGAGGGGGCCCAGTGGGGGGGGGGGGCCCATTCCATACGTGCTCTTTTAGTTGTGCCTGAGATGGGGAGGGGAGCGTGGGGCTATGATAAATCATGAATATAAAATAATCTTGTAAATATCTATTATGTTTTTTCCATTAAAATCACTTTGAAAAACTTTAGGTATAACTTGTTTAAATAGTATACAACTCTCTTGTAAAGTCTAGACCGGCTTTGATGGATTGGCTAGTATCAATTTTTAATCCACCGATATTTCAATAATGACTAAGTCGTGTAGTGCTAACCCCGCTAGGCTTGGATCCATCCGTTCACATAGAATGTACAGTGCTGTCAAGCCTATGGTATAATATAGATTTTTTTTTCATTTCTCTTTTAATGTGGTTGACTTTGTACCGCGCTTCGAGTCTTTGAGGATGAAGCGTGATTTGAAATAAACTTGTATATTATATTTACTATTATTATTTAAATAGCTTATATAAGGGAAAAGGAAATTGGGCCCATGGCGTGAAGGTAGTAGATATTATGGGCACAGTTCCCTCCTTCGGTATTTGAAGATAAATAATCAAGTGTATGTGTACCAAGTTTTGTCAAGATCCATCTATTCATTTAGGAGTATTTGTTGTTAATCCTATTTATATAGCTGAAATTGGAACAAAATGAATTTAACGCCCTCCCCCCCCCCACCCCCCTCCCGGTCCAAAAAAAAAAATATTTTAAATTTTAAAACCGCCCTGTATTTCCTTATGGATAATGCATGGATACTTCTTGCCGAATTCGGTCAACATCCATAAATCCACGTAGAAACGTATGGGCAAAAAAAAAACCACAAGTAAATGTGTCCCTACTTTTAAAAAAAAAAAAAGTCCCCCTTACGGAATAAGGTGATTACGACCAAACTTTCCAGGAACGATCCGTGGGTCAGGGAGGAATGACCAATGTCAAATTGAGTTGCCAACCCATTGTTTGGTTTTCTGGTCATCGATCGCTTGACCCGTTTGCATGCACACAAACAAAGGAAAAGTAAGTCTCGCCGAGCTTTACATAGTAGATGAACCGCTTCCTCTTCATAACACGCATACGGGAGTGCATTGCCCCAGCTAGTACATTTATATTAAATGGCAAGACAAAGTCCCCAACATGGATGTCCTGTCCCAAACAAACATGTGTAGCGTCCCAGCCATGTTAATCCGCTGGCTTGAACACGTCAAGCGAATGCAACCTGGTCGCATACCAAAGGACGTGCTATACAGCGAGCTGGCGACAGGGAAAAGGTCAGTAGGACGGCTTCGTCTGAGATACTTAGACACATGAAAAAGGGACATGAAGTCGGCCAACATCGACATCTCAACAACGATGCGGGGCATCGTGAAGGTAGGATCACTACATGCCGAGGATCAAAACAGGGCGGAAACAGCTGCAAAAAGAGCGAGGAGGAAGGCCGGTAAATACTGCTCCACCACATTTGTGTGTGGGAAATGTAACAGAGACTGCCATTCGAGGACTGGTCTCACCAGCCTCGCCAAGAGCTGCAAGCAATAAAGATAATCTGTCGTCTGCCGCAGACGGAAAGATGCCATACATACATACAAACATATATATATATATATATATATATATATATATATATATATATATATATATATATACATATATATTTCATGAAAAAGATTTCAATGTACACACCGTAGTAGGTATCCTTGACGACCATGAACGCTATCCCACTAGCCACAGCAGACGGAAAGATGCCATACATACATACAAACATATATATATATATATATATATATATATATATATATATATATATATATATATACATATATATTTCATGAAAACGATTTCAATGTACACACCGTAGTAGGTATCCTTGACGACCATGAACGCTATCCCACTAGCCACGGCAACAGCCAGGACGACGAACCTCTTAGCTGTGGTCTTCATTTGCCAGGTGTGATATAACAGGTGACTAGACTGAAGGATAGAAAAGCATAAATCTTAAACTTTAAACGTCACAAATAACTGACAGCAGCCGTCACCCCCACCCCCCCCCCCCACAGTACCACTAAAAACACCACAATGACCACCAAATATCATAAACTCCACCAAAAGCTCAAATGCTTCAGACATCATAAAAACTAACAACATTACAAAAATCACCAACATCGCACACACTACAAACACCACCAACATCAAAAACACTAAAGAAACATCACCAACACCATCAACATCACAAACACAATTTAAATTAAATTCACAATGGTTTTTATAACCTAAAATAATATTTAATGACGATATTGTCCACTGCTCAGCACAAGAGTCATTCTAATCTATTTATCAAGATCTATATATCAAAAGTCAGTCTAATCTACATACCAAGAGTCATTTTAATATATATTAAGATACACTCTAATCCATATATCATGAGTCAGTCTAATCTATATTTCAACAGTCCTTCTAATCTATAATTCAAGGTTCATGCTAATCTATATTTCAAGAGTAATTCTAATCGATATATCAAGAGTCATTCTAATCTATATATCAATAATTACTCAAATATAAATATTAAAGGTCATTCTAATCTATATACCAAGAGTCATTCTAATCTATATTTCAAGAGTCATTCTGATGTACATTTCATGTCATTCTAATCTATTTTCAAGAGACTTTCTAATCTATATTTCAAGAGTCATTCTAATATGTATCAATAATTACTCAAATTTATATATTAAGAGTCATTCTTATCTATATAACAAGAGTCATTCTTATGTATATACCAAGAGTCAATCTAATCTATGTATCAAGAGTCATTATAATCCTCTTTTTATGTAATGAAGTTTCGATCCACTTATCCAGCAACATTGTTATTTTAAACTAGAATAAATGACCCGATGTTTTCGGGATAATAATAGTAGGTCCTCTGCGATAGTTTCTAACTGCTGTTGCAAAAAAACATTACAATTCATAACTTTAAAAATTTAATAATATTTACGTTTCTAACATCATTATGTTTTGAGAAGAATTTATCTGCTATATATTATAGGCCTACCCTACTCCTTTTCACGCTCTTAAACTACATTTTCCCCCCTGTGAAAATGAACTTAAATTACACAGTCTTAATTATTACTAATTATATCACTTTTTTCACTAAACAAGTTTATTGAGGGACAATTACTACGTTAGAGAAATACTTTAGATTTACCCTTTTTCGTGCCCTTGAATTATAACCTTTTTTTTTATTGATATCTCCAGCAAAAATTTAAACACATTTTTTTCCTTTTTAAATATATATATATATATATATATATATTATCATAAAATCGTAAAACAAAGAAGTATTTTATCTAAAGAAGAATCTCGCAACCTTTTTTCACGTCTATAACAGATTTAAGTCTTTTTTTTTTTTAATTTAAATGTTTAATCTCATAAAATACAATTCTCTTTATTTTTTGCAAAGAAAAAACAAAAATGTGTTTTAATTTTTTGAAAGTAAATATTAACCCATCTCTACTTTTTTAAATTATTTTTTCAAGTGTGTAAAATGATTGGGTTTTGATATTCATGGTTATACTTATATAAACGTACCCAAGATTTGTTAGCGCCGTTGATCATCTTAAGTGGTAAACATATGTATATTTGTAAAAAGAGAGAGTAACATCTCTTTTTTGACATATGTAATGCCATAGGATTTAACTATATTGTCATCCACGTAAAAATGTACACATCGTATTTCCTACCTCCGAAATGTATTTACCCCAAGAAATTAATTATTTATCAAACTATTCCTTTATTTTGAGACGTATTTTGTTCTGCCTTGCGCAAAATAAACATACACATATTTGTAAAAAGAGAATGTAACATCTCTTTTTTCCCAAATGTAATCCCATAGGATTTAAATATATTGTCATCCACGGGAAAATGTACACATCCTATTTCCTACCTCTGAAATGTATGTTCCCAAAAAGGTTAATTATTTATCAAATTCATTACTTTATTTTGAGACGTACCTTGTGCTGCCTGGAGCAAAGTAACCAACACCCCCCCCCTCCCCCCGCAACCCAGATTTAAATAAATTTAGAAAAATCTTCTACCGGATTGTTTGATTTGATTGGATATTTAAATCGCGCTGGTATCCATGCCACTTTAGCTTGCTCACTGCGCTCTGGTATCCAGGCCACTTTAGCACGCTCGCTGCGCTCTGGTCCTCCTAAGTCTATTGAAACAAAAAAGTGTTTAATTATTTCTTAAATGATTTTTATCATTTACAATTCCCCTCAAAGATTGAGACAAACTATTCCATAATTTTGGCGCTATCGCTTCAAAAGAGCGCACACCGTAAGACTTTTTTTCTGTGTTCATCCACTCTAATAACACTCAGTAAGTACTGTTTTGAAGACCGCAGGCTCTTCAGAAGTACATGTTTGTAAATAAGTTCCTTGAGATAGTCCGGTGCTGAGCCATCTATGCAGCTGTACGCCAGGGACAAAATTTGAAGTTAATGCAGTCCCTTCCTTTCCCAAACTAAAATAATGTGCACTTCAAATGGTTCGTTCTTTTTTTTGTTTTAGTTTTAAGATGATTAGTCAATGCCATTTGGCTATGGAGTTGCGATGCACTGTTAAACCACATTTTCTTATTAGAATTATATTTAAAGGTTAGTTATACAATTATTAAAATTATAACGTAATAATAACAATGGATTGCTTTTAAATTTTTAATAAAACACACACACATTTCTGCTGTGCATATTAACATTAAAAATGTTTGCCTTTTTATTTTAGGTAACCTAAGAGTTTTGAAGAAATAAGCTATTCGCGCTTTGATGTCATTTGCGTGATTATTTAGAACAAATTAATTTAAAATTTTATTTCGCAATGTTAACAACGCACTAAAAGACGCACTGAAAACGACTGATGTTTGGGTTTTCCCGATAAATGTGATTACGGTGTAATTCTTCGATCGTGATTTTTTTTCATAACTTTTAAACACATATAAAATGCATAAAATAGTTCCTTAGTTGATGCTTTAAATGTATTTGTAATTTATAACAATAATACTTAAACGTTTACTAAAAATAAAAACAGATTTAAAATATTTTTTGCGCATTTAGATTTATTCGATTTCCGTAAAATAATAGAAAATAGCTATGATTGTTTTTTTGGAATTCGAAATATGGCGGAATGCTCCATCCAAGGCCACAACTTCAGTCCCTACCTTACATGTACATATTCGCATACCTCTGCTCAATATAAAACTATTTTATCCCCAGCGGCGACTGCAGTTTGAGAAGCGGCTTCTGAAATGAGTATATGTACACATTTTAAAAATAATATAATTCATTAAGACTGTGCGTTATGTTATGGCCTGTGTGTAGCCCTAATTTTAGCCACCACCACTTGTGTCCTCTTTGTTTTCCCACGGAAGGAACCGATGACATGCTCCGTGACGCCGTTCTTTAAATTCCTAAGCACCCCTTCCACTGGTTGGGAAAAGGTTGTCTACGTTCAAATACGTTCTATTTGTTCTTTTTAAAAAATTATATCTTGGGGACGCATTTTCTGGAATTTCTTTACTAAGAAGGCAGTGATTATTTCAGAAATGTTCCCTGGGGGGGGGGGGGCAGTGCCAGCAGTGGAAGTTGATTTATTGTTGGACTTATTTTAATTTATTGTTGGACATATTTTTGCACCGGGGGCACTTGGCTTTCCCCGGAGATATAGCTGAAAGAAACCCTGGTTGGGGGGGGGGTGTGATTAAAGCTCTATATAAATTGGCGAGCAGCTTTTTTTTAAGTTGAAATAGTAATTTGCTAATTTTTCTAGACATTTACGAACGTTACATTATTGCTTGTTTATTCGCTAAATATGTCTTTGTAAATTTATATTACTACTGCCCCCCTTTTTTCACTTGCTCTGCTGTAAGCTGACACTGATTTATTATTTCATTTATTTTTATTTTAGTTTATTTATATTGGAATTTGCATTTTTTAAAAATTTTAATAGTTTTATTAAACCGAATATTGCTACTATCTCTAGCTTTTTTGTGTGTGTGTGTGCCTGGCATACTAGTTTTCAGTCCAGGTGCGGTGAAGATGTAGAGCTGAATGTGACCATTGGCAAGTTGCGGTGAAGATGAAGAGCTGAATGTGACCATTGACAAGGTGCGGTGAAGATGAAGAGCTGAATGTGACCATTGACCAGGTGCAGTGAAGATTTAGAGCTGAATGTGACCATTGACAAGTTGCGGTGAAGATCAAGAGCTAAATGTGACCATTGACCAGGTGCGGTGAAGAGGTAGAGCTGAATGTGACAATTGACAAGGTGCGGTGAAGATCAAGAGCTGAATGTGACCATTGACAAGGTGCGGTGAAGAGGTAGAGCTGAATGTGACCATTGACAAGGTGCGGTGAAGATGAAGGAGAAAAAGAAATTCGATAATGATAGGATGCCCTACGACGAGTATTTTTTTCCACTTCAGTTAGGGGTCGTTCGCAAATTACGTCACGCTCAGGGTGGGGGGGGGGATGTGAGAATTTGTGACTCTTTGTGACAGGGGGAAGGGGGAGGGGTCTCAATAATGTGTTAATTTACGTGTTTTTTTGTTTTTTTTAATCTAAAATTTTCTCATTTTGAAAAAAAATCTGAATATAATCAATTTAAAAAAAACAACGTTAATTCAATGTCGAAATTGCCTCACGTATTACAGACACTATGAAACTTAGTCGCGCACAAATTCTCCGCGTGTCGAAAAATGACGCAAAAACAAAATGTTGTAGCCATTTTACTTACATTCCGCTTGTGGATGACTTCGTTGTTTTGAGTCACAGTTTTCTGATAATACTACATCTCAAGCCATTGTGGGAAAATGTAAAAGAAGAATATAATAAAATCTTAGATCGTTTATTTATGAAAATTTTATCTCTGTTTTGATTTAATTAGGTGTGACGTGACACGGGATGGGGGGGGGAGGGGGGTTAAAGATTTTGTGACACCTCGTGACAGGGGGGCGAGGTGGGTCTAAAAAGGTTCTTTTTTTTGCGTGACATTATTTTTGAACGACCCCTTATGCAAGGATCGATATCTCATGATATTTCAAGCTTTGTTTGGGTAATGACACAAGTGCCCGGCTCATGTTCAACGATAGAGCAATCGTTAGATTGACATACAGAAAAGATCTCAGTAATAACATACTTTGTTGGTGTACAGCTAAGCGGTTTTGTGTGTGTCTGTGTGCTATTTTTTTACGAAAACTTAATTGGGGGTTGTAAAGATAACATGACGACAGGACACACTCCCAGGAAGGTGGTTTGTTTCTTAATTTGGGGGGGGGGTGGTTGCAAAGATAGCATGACGCCAGGACACACTCCCGGGAGGCGGTTTGTTTCTTAATGGGGGGGGGTGTTGTAAAGATAAAATGATGACAGGACACACTCCCAGGAAGGTGGTTTGTTTCTTAATTTGGGGGGGTGTGTTGTAAAGATAACATGATGACAGGACACACTCCCGGGAGGCGGTTTGTTTCTTAATGGGGGGGGGGTGTTGTAAAGATAACATGATGACAGGACACACTCCCAGGAAGGTGGTTTGTTTCTTAATTTGGGGGGGGGTGTGTTGTAAAGATAACATGATGACAGGACACACTCCCGGGAACGTGGTTTCTTGTTCCCGTGTTGTCACGGTCAGTTAGTGCAGAATGATGATGGACCGACCGTACTGTGACCTGCTGCCGGAAGGGGGGGGGGCGGGGCGGGAAGGTTGCTGCTGCTCGGCCAGCCGCCTGGGCCCGTAGTAGACAATCCATGGATATGGAATAGCATACGTCTCTCTCGAGGAATAATGCGACATTTAAAAAAAAAACTTATCCATAAAGACATTTAAATGAACAATCCCTGACTGTCGCTTCAAAAGTTTTTTATTATCATTTATTGTCGTTGTTTTAATTGAAAAATGTTTTCTTGCTTTTAAATATGTATTTAATCATGCGCTAAAATGTATACGAACCATTATTTCTTTTAAAATCCATTTACTTGGACAACTTCTTATTTTCTCTTAAAATTTCTGAAAATAAACTACTTACTCCCTGGACTATGTGGTACGACTCAGTAAAGACACACCACGCTGATCCCAACTTGGTAGTACGACACAGTAAAGACACACCACGCTGATTCCCAACTTGGTAGTAGTAAAGACACACCACGCTGATTCCCAACTTGGTAGTACGACACAGTAAAGACACACCACGCTGATTCCCAACTTGGTAGTACGACACAATCAAGACACGGCACACTAACTCTGGGCATGTGTAGACATAGTAGTAAAGACACAGCAAGTGTATCCCCAACCTAGATAGTACGACACAGAAGTAGGTAGTACGACACAGTAGTAAAGACACAGCACGCAACTCCAAACGGCGAAAGAGATTATAAGAAGGAATTAATCAAATGTCTCAAAACACACCTGTACCGCGTGGTGCACCATTCTACGACGTCGGCCATGTGCTCTACAACTTCTTGACGCGGGCGTCCATCCATTTGTTGCCATTGTGGGTCACTTGTTTTTTTGTTGTTTTTTTTATTTTTTAACTCCACCTCCATCCCACCCCCACCCCCACGTCGCCCCATTAAAGCAGCGTTCGCAGTTTTAACAGACAAAAACAAAACAAAACCAAAAACAACAACAACCAAAAAAACCACACACACACACACTATGATAGCCGTAAATTGTCTGCCTACTTGACAGGTAAAAGGTAGCGTGTCTAGGCACACTACACAATGTTGAACATCAAAGAAAAAAAACTACATAAAAAAAATTTACAAAAATAATATGTTAAAATGGCCCTGCTGGCCAACATTGTCATCATGGGACCAGTGGCGTAGGTAGGGATTTGGTGGGGATTATGGGGCCCGGAGGGGTTGGCCTCTTTAGGGGGCCCTGCATTTTGACATTCGACATTATTTAATGTAAAAAAAAAAAAAAAATTGGATAATCTTCTTGTCCAATACCCCCTCCAATTATTACCCTCCTCCCCCCCCCCCCCCCCCCAAAAAAA